AACACTCTGAAATATTCCTATTGGAGCTTCCGGTGCGAATATCAACCCGTACAGAATGCTGTTTCCAAATTTCTCGCAGTGTGTATTGCTTTATGGCGCACTTTTTCTCACAGACAGTGCCCAACTGACCCTACTATACTGTGCAGTCGGCAAAATAAAAACAAACGAAGCGCATGCGCGAAATTAAAAATATAATATGGCGACAATTTACCCATTGAACCCTGTAAATGTACGAAAGGATTTATTTTTTTATTAATATTTAATTCAAAAGTATACATTAATATAAGTTTTTTATCAAAATCATCTTAACTTTCTATGATATCATTAACAGTTTTCGTTCGTATAAAACAGACCATATACGTATCATACGTAAATAACCAGTCAGTTATGTGCCATGCGTGATATATGACTGACGAGGCAGATTTTTTCCCGCAGTAGGTTGTCATTTCTTTCTGCGGTAGACCAGTTGCCATCCAAGCCTATAGAAGCGGCTCAGATTGAGGAATCGGAAAGCCGAGTTCGAATTCCAGTCAGATCCATTACATTCACTTCGCTAATACCCTTGGGAAAGGTATGAATCCTCTTCTTCTCCCCACTCCCAATCTAAGAGTAAGTATATGGTTCTATAGAATGTATAGCAACAGGTCTACCGCAAAAATAAATGGCAACACACTGCGGGAAAACATTTGCCTCCTCAGTCATGTATCGAAAGATACATGATCGCCTACGCGTGTATCACGCATGGCATGTAACTGACGTCAATAATAGGTTTATTTAATTCATTAAATATTTTGTTTTTGGTTGCTGCACAAAGTTACATGCTTGCTGTCAGATCTCACTCAACTCCAATTGTAAGTTTGTTCTTTTATTTCTTCTTTTTGACGAAGCCACGTGAAAACTTTTTGGTGGGAAAACGTATGCTGCTGTTCGCCTACGTAATCATTTATGAGCCGATCTCGTGTTCAGATCGAATTATGATTTTGAGTAAAGAAAGCCTTCATTTACTAAATGCGTCGTGTCCATGTCAACGCTCTTCATTTTAGGCTAATGGATAAACAAATTAAGCAAGTAAAATATCGAACTTTACGACATATAAAATGCATTTCAAGCAACTCACTAAAAATTATTCTAGATTCTATAAGATAAGAGATGAAAATGAAGCAATGTACAAAAGCAAAATCTTTAAACTGAAACACAGAACCTTTCATGACAATATCATACATCGTCATTCAAATATCTACTCAATGTTCAATTAGAATTATATTTTTATTCTGCCTGTCGATATGCACGGCCATTACGCTTTGCACACAGGACTATACTGGATAACTGCTATGCAAACGTCACCACGGAACTATCTGTCAACAAAGAGTCTCAAATTTCATATATCTTAGTATCTCAATCGTTATCTTATATCTACACTATTGTTGTCCTCATATTTATTGTTATATTCAGGTTTCGGTCGCTATACGCGCCGGCCTTCTTCAGGTGATATACGATGATCGAACCCTTTATTTAGTTTATGGGGGTAGATTGTTCTAGTTCCACGTGTTATAGATTATCTCAGTTTTCAGTTAATTCCCTTCAGAAACTCAACTCTCCAAGTTTTTGTTCCCTCTACTGTGGCCACGTTTTGGACTCAAAACTCTTTGGGTCAAGTCACTTTTGGCCTAGTTCTGCAGTTTGTTTTGATTTCTAGCACTCCGTATTACTGGTTCCCATATTATATTCAATTTTATGCTTGGCTGGCTTAGGAGATCTTTGTTGCCTAGCATATGTGCTGAATCCTTAAGTTTTCGTATCTTCCAGTGATATACTCTGTTTATTATTTCAACCTCACCCCACAAAGCTTGGTGATATCCTTTTTCCCTCATTGGAAACAGGCTTTCTCATAAAGATAAGACTGCAGAAACACCGTAAAGCCATAACACGAAAGGAAATAGAAAAATCAGGCATGGCTGACTATATATAGTTACAATAACTCATCACATAAATATAGGTGGATGTTATCTTCTGTTTTCTTAATTACTGTTCTTTTATTGTCTGTCTATATTTCTGAGATGAGGTATTATGTACATTATTTACATTATTCGGACTATTGTCTTCATCTTTGTCGCCATATCTATCACAACGTTTCGACCGTTGTACGCTCCGGCCTTCTTCTGTGTCATGTGTCCTTGAGGACATTTGGGTATGAATTTCTGGGTATTATAAACCTAATGTCTACAGCAACCATTTTTACCAGTGCTCATATTGCAATTTTGCTGTTATCATTGCATGTTTTTACCAGAGCTCATATTGCAACTTTGTTGTTATCATTGCTTTTCTCTGGCACTCCTTGTTACTGGTTCCCATATTGTATTTATTTCTATGCTTGGTCGGATCAGGAGATTTTTATGGCTGATTCCTTAAGTTTACGAATTTTCCAATGGTGTTCCTTGTCTATGAACTCAACATGATCCCACAGAGGGCGGTGATCTCCCTTCTCTCTCCATATGTGGTCAGCCACGTCTGATTTTTCTACTTTCCCTCGTGTTACAGCTTTCTAGTGTTCTTGAAGACTTACCTTGAGGGAGCGGCCTGTCTCTCCTTTATATTCCTTTCCGCAGCTGCACGGGATAGCGTACACATAGTCTTTAGTCATGTTCTCCTCTATGGAGGGTCTCACTCAGGAGAGATATCTGCGAAGTGTCGTCAGTCTTTTGAAGGTTGTCCTGATGTTATATGGACCGCAGATCCTTTGTATTTTCTCTGATAACCCCTTCACATAAGGCAGGCAGACTGTTTTCTGAGTGTTGTTGTCCTCCTCCTCTTGTACCCGCCTATCCCAGTTTTGGGGGGGCTGCTGCCATGTACCCAGGATAGTTGTTACGTTGTAGGGTACTAATTATACTGACCAATTCTTTATCTAATGTCTCTGGGTTGCCACATGACTTTTGCTCGGTGTTGTAAGCAACGGCCGATCCCTTTCTTTACGCTGTATGGATGGTGGGAGTTGAAATTGAGGCACTGTCCGGTGAATGTCGGTTTACGGTATACGGATGTCTTAAAACCATGCTCTGTTCGAGATATTACAACATCCAGGAATGGGAGTGTGTTGTTACTCTCTTTCTCCATTGTGAACTGTATCGAAGGTCTTATTGAGTTCACATGGTCCAGTAGAACCTGAACATCTTCCTGGTGTGGCCAGAGTATGAAGGTGTCATCTACGTACCTTAACCATATAGTTGGCTTTAGAGATATAGATTCTAATGCCATTTCCTCAAAGTATTCCATGTATATATTAGCCATTGCGAGCCCATTGCTAAGCCCTCATCCTGTCGATATATGTGTGATCCCATTCCGAAGTGTGTTATTTGTGTACAGAAAGTCAACATCTCCATCAGATTATCTATTGGAATACTGGTCCGTTCTTCTAGGGAAGAGTCAGAGGCCAATCTGTCTCTGACTACTGAGAGTGCCTCCTCCGTTGGTACCTTGGTGAACAAACTCACCACGTCCAAGCTCACCATCTGGTTGGATAGGGTGGGAGCATCTTTGATTATTCCCACTAAGTGGGCGGAGTTTCGGACATATGAAGGAGACTTTCCGATCAATTGGTCAATTATATCTACAAGGAAGCGGCTCAGAGGTTTGGCACACAGACCCTTGGCAACTAACAATCGGCCTGAGCGGAATACCGTCTTTGTAAATCTTAGCATAGAAATAAATACAATATGGGAACCAGTAATAAGGAGTGCCAGAGAAAAGCAATGATAACAACAAAGTTGCAATATGAGCTCTGGTAAAAACATCAAATGATAACAGCAAAATTGCAATATGAGCACTGGTAAAATTGGTTGCTGAAGACATTATGTTTATAATACCCAGAAATTCATACCCAGATGTCCTCATGGCACAGTGGATGAAGGCATTGGTTAGATCCAGTGACAGGACCCAAAGAGTGTGAGTTCAATACCCGGTTAAGGCAGTGGAGAACTTTCAGAGGGGATAACGGATTACTGACATCCATCAAACATTGCATGTGGAACTAGAACAGTCTGCCCCAGTGAGCGAAATAAAGGGTTAAGTTCAAAATTCCAACCACATGAAGAAGGCCGGTGCGTACAACGGCCGAAACGTTGTGATTAATATGGCGAAATTGAAATGGCCACCACGTCCACCTGACTTGACACCTTGTGATTTTTTCTAAGGATAGGTCTATATCTTTCGTCTGCCTACATGCCTAAAGGAACGTCAGCAGAGAATCACAATATGACGTGCCTATTCAAGAAGTGGGGGATCATGGCTCTCCACAATTTCGTTCTGATCTGTAACAGTAACGTTTGACTTGTTACTATCCCTCACAAACCCTAGTCGGCCTTCCGTTAGTTTAATTTAGTTTAGTTAGTTGCTGTTTTCTCTCTCATTTTTGACTTCAACAGAATGTCAAATTCTCCAAGCCTTCTTTCCTCATTACGTTTCCTAGAAATTCCAACTGTTTATTTCTTATTTTAAGTAGAAGTGTCATTTTTTTTTTTTTTTTTTCGATTTTCCTTAAAAGTTCCTCGTTTCTCGCGTGCTCCGTTCATGGTATTCTCAGCATCCTTCTGAAGAACTACATCTCTGTTACTTCGTGACTCGTCTTCAGTTGTGAGGAAATTGTTCAGCATTCACTTCCAAGGGACTATGTATTTATATCAACTCAGCACTCTTTTCTTTGTCCCTTACGAAAATTCTCCTGTTCCTTAATACTGTGCTTAGATTTTCGGCGGCATATTTCGCTATTCGAACGTGACTTCGAATTTCTGTGTGCACATTTACCGTCATCTGTCACTTCACAGCGACTTACATTTCTCTATTCGCTGGCCTTTTTGCTATCTCACTCCCCTATCTGCCATCCATTTACACAGCAGTCTCGTTAGCTCGGTCACTCGATTTTTCCCTTGGTCCTCCATACCGTTTTTCTTCATTATGCGAAACTGCAACTGTCTCTTTCTGATTTTAAGTGACATTCTCGGCTTACAGCCACAACACGTTGAAACACCGGTTCCTGTACGATCACTGAAGTTAAGCAACGTCGATCCTGGTTAATATCTAAATGGATGACCGCTTGGGAATATCAGGTGCTGG